TTTTATTTTATCGTTTTTTTTTTTGATATGTGTAGACAACCCAAAAGAAGTTGCTGCTGGAAGTGCTGTGTGTGTTTGTTGTTATTATTTTTATTGTTATTAATTATATTTGGTTGTTCGTTTATATTGTCACAATTGAATTGGGCTTGTTGTTGTTGTATATGCGTTACAGTAAAAATAAATGAGAGATTAACTCAAAAATATCACATACGAGTTGTGTATGTTTCCCTGGCTATTGTTGGCTGTTAAAACTAAATGTTGTTTTTATTTATTTGTAATTTTTTGAAATTGTTTCAGTTTATTCTCTGTTGTTTATTAAGATTATTGTGTTATTCAATGTTATGCAACTTTTATATATTTTTATACTTTCTTTTGTTTGTTGTTTGCATCACATGTGCAGCAATGGGTGTGTAGGTGTGTGTGTTAGTGTGTGTGTGTAATATATATATCAATCGAATTTTGAATTTTAACTTTGTTGTTCTTGTTGTTGTTTTCATTGTTTTATGATAAGCCAAAAGTTTTAACATCATTTTTTCATAAACTTCGTTAACTTAGGATGCTTAAATTTGTTTCAAATTTTCTTTTCGTTTTTTATTTTTTGGTAATTGCAAAAATTTTGTTCATTTAAACTTAATCCGTTTGTTGCAGCACAGTGTGCGCCAAAAGTATGCACCAGCTGTGCTGCTCTATTGCAGTTGGGAACTAAAAAATCGGCGCGTTGCGCCTATAAATTGGTATTCTCTGATACTCTACGCCAAATAAGTGATAAAAACTCTTTTTTATGGTGTTCTCAAAACTTTTTGTTTTCTTTTTGGTTTTTGCTTTCGGTCAAAATGGGGTTTAGAATTTTGTGAATCGCGTTCGCTACTAAAAAAACGCAATCGTTTTAAGTATTTCGTTTTCGTTTTCGTTTTGATTTTTATCGTTTTTGTTTTTGTTTTTTTTTTTTGGTTTTAGCTTGATTTTACCTAAACTGCAAATTTGTATAATTTTTCATTTTCTGTGTTCATTATATTTTGTGATCAGATGTTTTCCAAAACAAGGATGTTTAATCAACTTACCTAAATAGAATGCAATTACATATCATTATCGTTATGATTTGGAATTTCATTCGCTCTTCCTGTTGGCCAAAGTGTTATTTGATATACATATAAGTCTGTAGTAGAAGATACTTTTGTATCTGCTGCTCGATGTATCTGTATCTGTATCTGTATCTGTTATCTGTATCTGTATCTTTTGTTGGTTACTTTGGCACATGTTCTCATGAAACTCGAAACAAAAAAAAGAAAAATTTCATTTGCGCGCATTTTCAATGCATTAAAGCTCTGTGTTTAAGAATTGCCTTTTGCCCGAGGCTGAGTTTGATTTTGGTATTTGTGTGGGGCATGGGGACTTAGGGGGGTCGGGTATGTATTACTATGCTGTTAAGGTTCAGCTTTAGGTTTGCTTATGCTTAAACTGTAGTAATATTTAATTACGTGTATGTAGTTGTATTTTTAAATGTGATTTGCTTTTTTCTTTTGCTTTTTATATACAAAGTTGTCCAATTGTCTTTTCATTCATTTCAGTATATGCGGTATTTCGATATTTTGCGGTATTTTGGTATTTTGCGGTAATAATGCTTTAAAATCTAGTTAAAATTGCATATGGCTGCATCTGCATTTATATTTTGTTATTTCGTTTACGTGTAGTAAGTATATTTTTGTTTTGTTTTTGTTTTGGTTTTTATATATTTGTTTTGTTTTTGTATTTAGATTACGTGTAGTTTTTTCTTTTCATTATGCTTTAAGTTTATTTTGCTGTGCTTCATGCAGTTAATCAGTAAATAAAATTGTTTCGCTTGTTCGTTTTCGGTCTGTGAATGCGCTGCTTTGCAGCACTGTCGCTGCTGACGCACAGTGCGTTTACCAACACTGTGCGGCCAGCTAGGCTTATCGCTGTTTGATTGGTTATTGGTTACCTGGTTACCTGTTACCTGTCTGGTTGGCTGATTTTTCATATATTTTATTCGTTTCTGATGCCGCCACGGGGCTGCTATCAGTGCGTGTTTTGTAGTTTTGTAGTCGTTGGCTGGCTGGCTTTGGCTGGCTGGCTGGTTATGTGTTTGTTGTCGATGCTTATGTATTGCTAATGTCCTGGCCTCTCCCTTTACCCAGGTTGTAAACTGTACTTGATATGTGTACTGTGCAGGCTCAAAAAAGCAGTTACAAATGATTTAAAACTTTTCTCTAGGCTATGGCTTTCGTTATTCTTTGCTTATATATATTTCTTTTAGAATTTTAAACACCAAAATCTTCAGCACCTAGACACAATTACCTATATGCCTGTGTGTGTGTGTAAGTAAACAAAACGCAATTTGAGCGCTTCGAAAGATTTGCTGCCAAAGAGTTGTGAAGTTGCTTTGAAAGGCTTGTCTCCTGCTTTTTTGAACGCCCGCTTGAGCTGCGATAATAGTTTTGTATGATAATGATTCGCTTACCGTTTAGTTGTGGTTTGTGAGTTGGTTTTTGGTTTGTGGTGTTGTTGTAGTGTTGGTAAAGGCCAATCAATTCCGTTGCTTTCATAAAATGCCGAAAATTGCAAATGCAACAAAAAATTAAAATAAAAAAATCGCCAAACTTTGAAGGAATTTTGTAAAGAAAAAGCAAGCGATATTTTTTTTCTTTTTTTGTGTTCGTTTTTTTCTCAATGACTTTTGTTTATTAACCAATTATTAATATGCCTTTTGTTTTTTGTTCACTTATAGTATAATTATGTATGTAAGTATAAATGTATGAAATATGTATGTATGTTTGTATGTCAATTTATATATAGTATTTGTATAGTTGTAGTTGTATGCTTGTATTTGTGTGTATGTGCTGTTGTTGTTCTTACTGGTACGCAAGCAAATGGGCTGGCAAAATGGCTCAAACTATATAAAACCATTGATGCCGCTTTTGAAATATTGTCACAAACCGATCTATTTTTCAAGTAAATAAACTGACAAACTGAAATGGAAACAGAATTTTAACTTTGCAAATATATAAAATTTGTTTCTCGTTTTCAATTTTGAGTTTTTTGTTTTTTTTTTTTTTTTTTTTTTTGGCTTTTGGTTTTCATCTCGAGGTAATTTTTTAACCTTTGTTGTTGTATTTCGACTTGCTTAATTTATAAAAATTTTGCCTAAAGTTTTTGGTTTTTTTGTTAGCCGAAAGTTTTTTGTTTGCAGCATTTGTTTATTGTTAATACGCCTTAAATTGCCTAAAAGGATTGTTAAAAATTTTCAATTTCGATTAGATTAACTATTTCTACAATCAATAATTTCGTATGGCGGCATGCTTGGCCAGTGGGCGTGGCCACTGTCCACACACTGCCGCCATATTGGGTTTTCCCGAAACAATAATGTAGTTCAATGTTTCTCCTTCTTCGATTTGTTTCTTTTAGTTTTTTTTGTTTGTCTTATCACAAAATCAGTTACAATTGTATTTAAATAAATTTTTTAAGTCAACTTCAGTGCCAAAAAGTTTACTCATTTTCGTTTAATAAATTTTGTAAAGGCATTAACAATCAACGAGCTTTTTTCAATTTTCAGTTTTCAATTTTCAATTTCGATTTTTGTGTTCTTGCAGCAAGTGTGAAATGAAAACCTTAAAAGAAACGAAAACAAAATAATTCAAATAAAAGTACATTTATTTTCGTATTTTTTTGTTTTAGCCAATGTAATCAATTTTATGTTTGTACGCTTTGTTAATCTAAATATGAATTTTAATTTTCATCTTAATTTTTTTTTTATAAAATTTCAATTTGAATTTCGATATCAATAAAGAATTTAATTTCAATTTTTCTTTTTATTTTTTGTATTAGATTAGGAAACTCACCGTTTATACGTGTTTAATTTTGTGATAATTTCGCCGAATTGCATACGATTCTGTTGGGCAATTGCCACATACACACATATATATATATATATATATATATATATGGCCATTTGCCTACAAAATGGTTGGTTCGATTTAATTTTGCTTTAGCTAAAATTCGACTATTGTTAAAATTTTGCTTAATCATTGGGTTTGCCAAAAGTTTTGCATTATGTAGTAGTTCTATATAAAGCGGTGCTCTTCCGACTCTAATCTCTAAGTTCCGGCCAAAATCTAAGCGAGTGGGCGTTAGGGGCGTGAAGGGAATCGGTGGCTGGGCTCTAATGCCAGCTGATGAGCGCCTCGAAGCACATGATGGGCCGAAATTTGTCTGTTTTTCGAAAAGTTGTTTTGTTTTGAGGAATATTTGGTTGATATATTTTTTTCCATTTGGATTTTGGTATATTATGTGTTTGCATGCTTTGATGAATGTTGTTGTTGTTGTGCTGCATTTGGTGTTGCGCAGCACTGGTTTGGCCAACACTGACGCGCAGAGCTGGCCAACATATCCCTCTTAACCCGCCCACTTTCCATGCTTGGTATGAAATGAAAGTGCATATTAAAGGCACACAGCCGACACTTCAAACAAAGATGGGAACAATAAACGATAAGTCAAAGAAAAGAAACTCAAAATTTTGATTTGTGTATTTGTATACATATATATATAAATATATATATATATATATGTAAATTTGTTGTATTTGGTTTTTGTATATTTGTTGCAACTTAAGGCCAAGTAAATTAAACTAAACGTAAACTTAAATCGAATTGCTATTCAACTAAACGTATAAATATGTACATAAATAACAGACTAGTGTGTGTGTATGTGTGTAGTGTGTGTGTGTGTGTGTGTGTGTTTTGGTATTTTAAAAAATAATATGCGTGCACAATTTGGTGCAGTCAAAAATGATTCGTAATATATCAAATTTATATAAAGTGTTTCAAAAAAGGAAATCGCATTCAAATTCAGTTGATTAACAATAAACTTTGGTCGTATTTTTGTTTGCATAATAACATTAAATAAATTGTAGCTACCCTAACGCCCGCTGCTAATTCAATTAATTATTAATTTTCTTTTTTTTTGTATTTTTTAAAAGACTACGTTTTTCTTGATAATAATTTTTTTTTGGGTTTTTTTTGTTTAGTTTTTTTTATAGACATCGAATTATGCTTAAGTTTTAAAGGAAAAAGCAACCTGTACGTGGTTAATTTATATATATGCTTGTTTGTCAAACCGATAGCATTGCGCAACACTTTTTAAAAGCGTTTGCAACACTGCAGCGTACAGAAAAGTTTGTCTGCAATTGAAGCAACCGAAGCTTCAGCTGCAAAGAACTTTTCGATCGGCTAAGAAAAACACATCGTAAGACTGTACCGATATATAAGAGTGTATGGGTGTGCGTGTGTGTCTGTGTGTGTGAAATGTGTGTCAACTTGCGGTAGATAATTAGATGGCTCAACTATGTATGTATTTGGAATATATACGTTAATTATTTTTTTAAAAATTTCAACTAAGCAACCCAACGGTCAGAGTACAGTTTACACTCTGTATAAATACATTTGTAGTCTCTGTGTGTGTGTGTGTGTGAGAGTGTGTTTTGACTTTGTTTAACGGCTCAGGTTTTAAATTTGCACTATATTTCGTGTTCTTTGGTTCGAACAACATTTGGTAGCTGATCAAATCAAATACGCTGCATACGCTTCAGCGCAGATATAAATATGTTTTTCATTCTCTTCAGTTGAGGCTTGTGTGTGTGTGTATGTGTGTGGGAGTGTGTTAAACCTATTACGAAATGCGGCTATAATTGTGTTTTTGTTATGTTACCAGTTAGCGGCGACAGCATTTTCGAAATTTTTAAAAAATATTTTACGGCTCTAAAGAAATTGTTTGATTCGATTTTTTGTTGTTTTTTTTTTTTGTTTCTGTTTCTAGCTTAAAATTTCGACGAGAGGCCTAAAAATGGCGAATACCTATGAAAATGTGTGTTGCCTCTTGTTGTTGTTGTTGTTGTTGTGTGTTTAATAATACAATTTTACTTTGCATTATATCCAGTTGTATTTCTTACGTAGATTTAACTTTTTAACTTTTGTTTTCGCTTCGCTTTCGGCATTGCTGTTGTTGCAGTAGTTCTTGTTGTAGCTGTTAGTGTTGTAGTAGTTGTTGTTGTTGTAGCAGGGTTCGTAGATTGATTGAGAGGTGGTGGCATCGTTGGCATAGCCAACTCCTCCACTTATTCCAGCTGCTCTAAAAAATTCGGCGACTTGAAGTACTCGGGCACGGGATCGTCCATGCGTGAGATTATTTTGTATATGGATTTCTTCCACGATTGCTCGGTGTCTTTGCCACCCTGTATTGCACGGAAAAATTCACGCAGTGTCTGTTCGACCACAAAGCGAAAATTTTGGGGTACCTGTGGGCGTGGTCGAAGACGAGGGACGAACGATAACGATAATTAGCAAAAAGGTCAAACGGCAGCGGAACACGATGTGTTAGTGTGCGTGGTTGTGTGTGTGTGTGTGTGTGTGTGCATTAGTGTGTTAGTATGTATGTCATTTTCAACAGAGCTTTAACTACTTAATTACCATAGCAAAAAAGAACTATTTTAATTCATTGCAATATGAAAGAAATTACCATTTAATTACTTTAATTACTTTTTAGTAATTGAAAGTATTTCCAGCTCTGATCGTAAGTGTGTCTGTGTGTGTGTTAGTTCTTATAATATTGTTAGCAGAGCTTTAATTACTTGACTTTAACGAATACTTAAAATCTTGTTTAATTAATCGTAATTACTTTTTAGTAATTGAAAGTATTTACAGCTCTGGTTGTTAGTGTATGTGTCTGTTGGTGTATTTTGTTGCATACCTCAATGTGATTATTGCGATTGTAGTGCAAATTGAGCACGCGATATAATTCACTATCTCCAGCAATCAACAGATCATCGGGTGTCTTGATGCCTTCAGTGACAGCTTGACGTGCATATTTCTCCATTTGTATGTAGTAGAATTCTCTGCAGATGCGTAGATGAGGAATATGTTTGGATTTGGTCAGTATACTAAATAGCTATGCTTTGATTTGATTTGATTTTTTTTTTTTGGTTTTAAGTTGGTTTGGTTTTTTTTTTTTGGGATATTTCGAAACAGCATTCAAATTTACGAAATCATAGGTATAATAAATCATAGAAAGAGATAGAGTAAGAAAACGATACGAAACACAAACATTCAACGAGAAAATGAAAAACAACTCAACTCGAATTCAAACGTAAAAACTTTTCTCATGCATTCACCCCAAACGAAAAAGAAAACAAAGAAGGATAGATTTCCATTTGCTGTTCCAGTCTGTCTGACGCTAAGCCTATATCGACTGCCTTTCGCCTGCATGGGCTTAATGCATTATATTGGATCGACTTTGCAATATATGACATTATTAATAAATTTGCAGCATACTCTTAGGCGCGCCATTCTGCTCTACCCTAAAAGCCTCGACTTTGTCTCTCTCTGTATGTGTGTGCGTGTGTGTGATTTTTGTGCTTCTTTGTTGTAAAGAATTTTTAATAAATCTCAAATGTGCAACGACAGCGCTGAGGGCTGCTGGCTGCTGGCTGCAGTGCTGGCGCCGAACGTGCAAGTTAACGGGCAGCGTCTTCTTCTGCTTGCGGTTAGCTTCCCCCTGGGTGGGCGCCCGTCTGCCCGCCCGCCCGCCTGCCTGCCTGCCAATTGTCTAGTGGTTGGGGACTTAATTAGCAAGTGCAGCGGTGCCTCAGTGGTGCTGTTTATGCTCCTCGTGTTGGCTGCTGTGTCGCCGCCTTGTTTAGTCAAGTGATTTGTGTCCGGGGCCGCAGCAGCCGGGTGTATGTGTGCCTCTGTGTGTGTGTGTAAGTGATTGCTTGTCTTTTTCTAATGAAAAGTCCTCGCTACAGCCCCCACCTCCGCCCTAGCAGAGCAGCACTTGCTGAGTAGCCTGTGCCACATTTGTTGCTGCCGCCCACTTGACAACGCTCCGATAATCGCGCTAATTTCAAGATTTCCCAGCAGTTGCCGCCAAATGCAACTCTCTGTGTGTGTCTCTGGCTGATTTCTCTGTTGATTTTTCCAAACAATAAGCGCGAATTGCGCAAATAGAACAGACCGTGGCACGGGGCTGCATCTTTGCCAGAGTCATCGCATTGAGAACGAGAACGAGAACGAGAACGAGAACGAAGCCTGTCAAGCTACGAGGAGCTCCCCGGAGGCGGCTGCCACGCGCACTTGAACAGCAAATGCGAAGCATTCCCTACAATGGACCGATGCCCATAATGAGCAGAGGCGAGGCAAACGCAAGAAGCCAACAGTACAAATTGTGACAGAATATCTGTCCCCACCTCAGTCTCTGTGTGTATGGGTGTGTGTGTGTGTGTGTGTGGCTTTGTTAAGGCTTGCAACAATATCTGAAAACTGTGGCTGTGGCTGGGGTGCTCTGCGCCTGGTGCCTATAGTTATTAGGCGTTTGGCAACAAAGCTTTGCCTACTTGTAGCCGTGTGTGAAAAGCACAATATTTTGTGTGTGTGATAATGCAATTAGCTTTGGGTTTTCACTTCTTTTTGTTGCTGTTGCTGTTGCTGTTTTGCTTGAGGCTGGCATTCAAATGCCGCATCAAGTGTTGGGTGCCAGGAAAAGGAAGTTTAGCTAACTGCCTGCCATAAGTGTGTGCGCTGCGCCACTTAATTTAGATAATACGCTTCCAAACACACACTCACACACACACACACACACGCTACTCACATGCTGCACACAAAATGGCGCCAACGGAAGAGCAGTCGCTGCTTTAACTAATTAGTTTATATAATTTTCGTAGCCTATTTACAATTCATATTCATATTTGCATGCTGCAATTTGGGTGTGACGCACGCCCACTTTACAGGTTGCCAGCGACACACTAGAAACTGCATAAGTATGTGCATGTGTCTGTGTGTATGTGTAGGGGAGAGCCTGTGCGTGTGTGTGTGTGTGTGTGTGCGTGTGTTTGGGTGTGGGTGTCAAGTCTGCTTCTTTGCTACTTCTTTGCTTTCTTCAGAAGTGCCATTCACTTATGGTATGAATAGAGAATAAGTACATTAATAAGCTCACACATACTCACCCACACATATGCAGACATCTCTACCTCATACACTAATGAAGTAATTGGCAACACTTTAGATATACATACATACATATATATGTATAAATATGTAAGCATCGTTATATATATACTGAAATATGTGTGTGTGTGTGGGTGTGGGTGTGGGTGTGGGCGTGTGTGTGATTGTGTGTCTATGTATATATATATACGTATTTTGTTTGCTGCTGTTGTTGTTGCTGTTCATTTCATGATATTTTCCTTTTTTATTTTTATTTATTTTTTTTTTATTAATTCAGCAAGATCTTTTCAGGTGGCTGGCTGCCTGGCAGCGGTAGGGTTGCCTCTACTAAGCGCCAAAAGGACACTTAACCTCAAAAATGCTTCATGGAAAAATAAAACTCAAAAACAGAAAAAAACAACAAACAAAAAACACAGAGAGTCATGTGTGTGTGTGTGGGAGAGTGTGTGTGAGTTCCTTGCATATCCTTGAGCGCCTTTTGCCTGCTGAGGGTTGGGCGGCCATTATGCGCGTCTCTCCAGGCGCGACTCTCAAGTCCCTCCGAAACAAAAAAGCGGCAGCCAAAGAAACGAGCTGCTGCACTTGCCCCTAACTGGCAGTCAGTCAAACAAACTAATTAGCCTGCCCCCACCATGTGTGTGTGTGTGGTTGGGTCCTTTGGCTGCTTTCTTTTCATTATTTGCATTTGCCATAAGAGTAAAGGCAGATAATGCAATTATATAAGTGCCATACAAATACAAAAGCCACTTTTCCTAATTAGCCAACACAAAGGCGAAAGAGAGTGGCAAGAAATGCCAACACTTGCCCCCTGCCCTGCCCACCCCCCAAGAAGAGGGGCATATACTTTTTTAATAAGCCGCAGCTACTGCAACTTTCTTTCACACTTCAAACAAGCGAAAAATGGAAAAGTGCTCGAGCATCCTTGGCCAGGACTATCAACGGACCCTTTTGCATTTTCTTAAGTGGCCACTAAAAGCGGCATGCAACATGTTATTACTTCTCTAATGTGTCTGTGTATCTCGGTGTGTGTGTGAAACTCATAATGTTCAGCTGTGAACTCTGGAAGAGATTGAGTGCTAATTTCCTTGACTTGCCATATTAAAAACGAAACGAAACTAAATTACATGAGATAAAAAAGGAAGAAGAAAAATGCAAAATAAGTTGAGTTCAGTAATTGAGAAATGCCGTTACGAGCTGACCCGACCTACCCCTAAACAGAAAGCACTGGGAAATTGAAAAGGAAAAAAAAGCAAACCAACGATATCAACTAAAATATTCCCACCCATTTTAACCTCAGCAGTCGAAAGTTGAAGTCGCAAAAGAAATATATGAAAAGGGATAAGATACGCCAAAGAAATTCCCATGCAAAGTCGCCTTCATTCATCGTAGATTTCTTTGGGGCAGCAACCCTTAAGAAACTACCCAGCGCAAACAAAAGAATTCCAAAAGGACGTCTGAGGGAAAAACCCGTGCCACGATTTCTGTGCGCAGGTAAAAGAGCTGAGGCGAATTTCTTAAGACGTTGCGCATGTCTTAAAGCAAATCGGGGCAGGAGTTAGGGGTAGGGGGTAGTTGGCTAAGCGCGAGCAACAACAAGGGACAGCTGCTAAGCCATGTCTGTCTCTCTGTGTGTGTGTCTGTGTGTGTTTTGTTAGGGGCTGAAATCAAAATCCAGGTGAACTATTGTATTGTCGCGTGGTTAGCTGCAGATGTGCCTCGCATTTGGCGCGAAAAGCGAGCTGCAGAACTGCAGGATCCGAGGCCCGAAGCCCGAAGCCCGAAGCCTTTGCCAGCTGTCGTTTGAATTTGTACCGATATATTCACATAAATATATATTATTTTTGGCAACTTCTTGTGCTCATAGACAGGTTTGACAGTCAAATCAGTATTGCAAATGCCAAACAATTCATTTGGAGGGGCTTCGCGATGGCTGGGGGCGTTGCATGCGCTGAGGCGTCAGTTGTGTGATTTCTTGAGTGCAAGTCAAGGATTCGACAGTTGGCAATCGAATTGAATTTGAATTTGGAATTTTCGGTTGAAGTGCCTGACAGATTTATATATATATAGAATAGTTCTAGTACGCTTACAGAAGAACACAAATGAAATCATAAAAATGAATGCTGCTTGAGTAAGAGTTACATAATAGAGACAGATAGATCAGATCAGAGATAAATATAGACATTGAGTGAGTGGCTGGGGCGTGTTGTGGAGGCGTGTGCAACTTACCGGAAGTTCGAGAACCATTTCACCAATTGTGCTGTATTGTTTTTGTTAAACTTGATGTCCGGGAAGTACATCTTGAGCACCGCTGAGCTCGGATAGCGCACCCAGAAGAACATCAGCTTGGCCTTGCGCAGGTGCATCGGTGTCAATGTTGAAGAGTGCAGAGGAGTCAAGGATTCACAATGATTGCTAAATTTGTTTACATACATGATGTGGATAGATAGATATATATGGTATATAGTCAATGCAGTTTGCTCCCAAAGAAATTGCCATGTCAGTGCCAAGTGATGAAGGGGGCATGTCTAAGGTTTGCCTTTTGCTGTTGCTGTTGCTGTTGCTGTTGCACTCTCGAGTGTTGCAAAGCCAGCAATAAATGCCAATAATGAACGTCTAAGGGCGAATAGTGTGCTAGAGGCAGGTTCTTTACAGAGCTTTGCCACTTGGCGCCGGGTTGATTGAAAACAACAACTGTGAGAATGAGAAAAACTGACAAGCAGCACGCTATGCCACGAATCTTGAACGCTCTACAAAATGTTCGATACTTCTATATAGATGAGGCAACGCAATGACTTCGAATATAGAAAGCGTAATCTTATCTTGAACTAATATATCACAAGACTTGAGCCATGATATAAAATGGAAATTTAAGAGCGATTACAAAGTGTTATGAGCCAGAGCAAAGAGTATTTCGAGAATGAATTGAGGTCCGCTTAGTGGGCCTGTGGGGCAGGGTGGCAACACTTGGAGCCCATTGCAATTGGCAATTGGCTGCGCCGATTGGGCATTGATTTTTCTGATTGCTGTTGCTGCGAGTGCAAATGCAACTCAAGCCAAGAGGCGGTCGAGACCGAGACGACGTCGATGTCGACGTCGAGCACGATGATGACTTGAGGGCTGCTCGTTGGCTGCTTTTTGGGTGGTTTGGGGGCATTGCAATAAATAAGGTTTTGATTACATTTTATAAAAGAATTTAGTTTAAATGGGTAAATAAATAAACTGAAGAAGACACTTGATTGGTTTCGTTTTGTAAGCAAGGCCCCTTTTGGTTTCCGTTCAGGTAAATGTACTTAAGTCCCTACTTGCACTCACTGCACCACTTGGCACTGTCGGACCATGGACTGGGGGTAAACTCACTTGACCATTAGCAGTGAAGGCTCTCCAGATTGCTGCCCTTGTTGCTGCAGTTGTTGTTTTAAAAAGGATATAGTAGGCTGCATGCCATCGAATGTCATGTCGGCCGAGTTGCACTCGGACTGCCGATCCTGGGCGTCCATGACGGCTCGCAGGCAGGTCTTGTAGTCTGGCGAGCCGCCATGGTGGGCGGCTGCCAATAGAGCGGGATGTAGCATCGTTGGCGGATGTGGCAGTGGCGGTGAGTCGCGTGAGTCCATCAGAGCCCCAAGGCTGCCGGGTGGACTCGATGAGAGCTGCATCTGATGGTGGTGCTGGTGGTGCATCTGTGCAGCGGTGGGTTGCCCGCCATGTGGCGGACCGTGTGGACCCGGCGCCGCATGCGGATTAAAGAATGGACTGTACGGCGAAAAGACTTTGGATTCGTGTAGCGATGGATTTGGTATGGCCACCGATGTGGGCAAGGACACTGGCATCATGGGTGGTGGTGGTGGTGGTGGCGGGTGATACGTGCCGGAGGATTGACCGCGACCCGTTGGGCTCTGTGCGGGCGTTGCATTGTTGTTGCTGCTGCTGTTGCTGCCCTGCTGCTGCTGCTGCTGCTGCTGTTGTTGCTGCTGATGCTGTTGTTGTTGCTGCTGTTGCGCGGCAGCAACGGCTGCTGCTGCGGCAGCTGCCTGTCCACTAGGCGGCACAACGCCATCCTGAGCCAATATGCGACTGACGGTGCGCGGAGTGATGCGTGTATCGGTCACCTTATGACGCTTCTTCTTCGGTGTCACTACCAGGCTCAAAGCCTCGTTCTGCTCCAGCTGCTGTTGCGTCGGTTGGGCGCTCTGCTGCTGCTGCTGTTGCTGCTGTTGCTGTGCGGCTTGTTGTTGCTGCTGCTGCTGTTGCTGCTGATCGGGCGGCAGGCAGAAGGGACTTGTCATCGAATTGTAGAGCGCTGCCGCAGCTACCGGGTTCATGCCTTGCGGCGTTTTGGGCGCCTGAAACATGGCCGCTGCTGTGGGCGAGGGACGTATGTGAGGTGGTGGTATATTAAGTGAACTTAAGCTATTGTTAGTTGCATTCGATTGATTAACATTATTGACCGCATTGCTCCCAGCAACAGCTACTTCGTTCGTCTGTTGCTGCTGCTGTTGCTGTTGCTGTTGCTGCTGCTGCATGGCAGCCGCGGCGGCAGCATGATGCATTTGCAGGCCCATGGCGGCGGCAGCAGCGGCCGCGGGTGAGGCAAATGACAATTGATTGCCATTGAGCCGGGGAGCAGCAATCAGTTGCTGGCAATTGGGCAATTGCTGCTGTGCAGCTGCCATTGCAGACATGACTTGAGATTGATTGAGAGGCTGCTGCTGCTGTTGTTGCTGTTGGTGATGTTGCTGTTGCTGCTGTGCGGCCTGTTGCTGCTGCTGTGCAAGTTGCTGCTGCTGCTGCTGCTGCTGTTGTTGAGTGGCACTGCTGCTGCTGCTGTTGCCCTGACCCTGACTCGCTTGCTGCTGACTATTAGCTAGTAGTAGTGAGGCGTTATTGTTACCTGATTGTATTGCTGACGTCGGTCCGTTCTGGGCGCCCGCGTTGGCGCTGCTGCTGCCGCCATGTCCGCGATCGGCGACGACCTTGGTGCGCGGCGATTTGCGATCGAGTATCTGCGAGGCGAGCATCAGATCCTTGTTGAGCTGCTCGGCAGCTGCAGTCACCGAGTCCGCCTGCTTGCTGAAGAGGCGCCGCTGATGCACGAACCGGGTGACGATTGTGTCCACCAGCGCGGAGAGGGATGTCGTTATCTCCGACTTGAGCACATCGGCCAGACCCTCCAGATCGGTGCCGGACATGCGCATCATGGAGCTGTTGTTGCTGTTGCTGTTGCTGCTGTTCTGCTGGCGTAGCATTTGGAACTTCTCGGATAGCTCGGACTTCAGTGCGCTGTGTGCGGCAGCTGCGCCGCCCATGCGTGTGGGCAAGCGAGCGGGCGGATGGAGCTGAACGCGTGGTGTGGCAGCGGCAACGTGCTGCTCGAGCTGCTGCTGTTGCTGCAGCTGTTGCAGATGCTGCTGTTGGCGCTGCATCTGCTGCTGTTGCTCCTCCTTACGTCGCTGTTGCTCCTGCTCCTGCTCGAAGCGGCGCTGTTGCTCTTGTTGTTGCTGCTGCTGTTGCTGTTGCTGCTGCTGCTGCTGTTGCTGCTGCTGTTGCTGCTGCTGTTGCTGTTGCTGCTGCTGCTGCTGCTCGGCAGCCTCTTTGGCCATGCGCGCCTCCTGCTCGAAGAAGAACTGCTGATACATGGCTGCCGCATGCGACATATCGCCCATGTGTTGCAGTATGGGCGGAAAGCCTTGCGGTATCGCAGGATGTGGCACGCCCACAAGGGGATTGTGCTGCTGCAGCTTGCTGGACATCATTTTGCTCATCATCTGGGTGAGCATGTTGGGTGTGGTGACAGCGGTGTTATCGGTGCTGCTCTTGTTGCTGCTGCTGCTCTGCGGCTTCAGTGTGGGCGAACTGGAGCCAGCCCGCTCCACAGAATCCTTGGGCGTCGATTCGCTCAGCGTGGGCGAATGGGAGAGCTCGATGTCATCGTTTTGTTGCTGCTCCTGCTCCTGCTCCTGCTCCGGCTCCGGCTCCTGCTCCATGCTATCCAAGTCCTGTTCGTTATCATTGTCCAGCTCCTGGCATTCCGACTCCTGCTCCATGCGCGTGCACAGCTGCACGTATTTCTGCTGCATCTCGGCCAGCTGCTCCTGCATGGAGCGCAGCTGCGACTTCAGCGCATTCTTCTCCACGCGCTTCTGCTGTATCTGCGGCGACTCCAGCTCGTTGGACTCACTGTCCTCCTGGTCGAGCATCATGCTCTGCAGATTGAGTCCGAAATTGAGACCCGCCGCGGCGGCCACATAGCGTTCCATGGCATGTTGCTGGGGCTGATACAGCTTGCGCTTCTTGCAGCCATTCACCTGCAGCTGGCCAGCCTGCGCCGTGGCCGAGGAGGGGCTGCAGCGCATGCTGGACACGATGTGCTCGACGCGTGCGCGCTTCAGCTCCATGCCTGGTTTCTTCAGGCAGCTGGAGCTGCTGTTGGCGTCACGTTTGGTCTCAATGCAGTCATCGTCGTCATCTTCATCATCCTCGTCATCTTCGATGATGTCGTCGTTGTCCAGCACCTCGTCCTTGCTGCTTGCCAGCAGCAGCAGGTCCGAGTGACTGGGCGACGACAGCGATTCTAGATCCGAGTTGCGCGAATGACCATGCCCACTCATGCCCAACAGCTCCACCTCGTCCAGCATATCGTCCACGGTCTCCTTTTTGGTGGGCAGCACTTCATTCTGCAGCTGGGCCTCAGCTGCTGCTGTCGGCGTGGCGCGCTCCTCGCGCTGCATGCTGTCCAGTGAATCGGAGGACTTGCGTCGCAGGCTGCCGTTGCTGGCGATGCTGTTGCTGCTGCTGTTGTGGCTGTTGCTGTTGCTGCTGCTGCTGCTGCTGTGGCTGTGGCTGCTGCCACTGTGTGGCGAGTGCGGCGCATGTGTTGCTGCATGTGGGCCCATCAGCTCGGTCTCACTTTTGATTTTAATCTCTGGCATTTCACAGTCCTCTATCAAATTGATGCTCTCAGAGACAACGTTGTTGTTGTTGTTGTTGGTGGTGGTATTATTATTGAGCTTGGAGTGGAGTTCCTGTTGCTGTTTCTCCTGTTGTTGCTGTTGTTGCTGCTGCTGCTGTTGCTGTTGCTGTTGCTGTTGCATAGCCGTGCGTAGCTCCTGATCCAGCTGCATCAACTCCTTTTTGCCTTGCAATATATTTCGCAGCATGTGATGTGCCACCAAGTCGTGTTGCAACTGCTGCTGTTGCTCGTTTGTGTTGCTGGCGCCACCATTCAACGAACTCACCGAAGCAGCACGCGGCGGTGAGCCACCAGCAACATCGGATGCGGCTGCTGCTGCTGCTGCCAGATTGCCATCCAGCGATCGATCGCTGCTGTTGGACACGCGGCGACTGTTGCCGCCCTTGGGCGTTGAGGAATGCGCCGATCCTGGCGATATCGAGGCATTATTATTGTTGCCATTGCTAAGCGGTGTGTTGTTGTTGTTGTTGTTGTTATTGAGCAATTTACTGGTGTTGAGACTGTTCACCAAGCCGGCCGCACTCAGCAGCTCGGCACTGGTGGCCGTCTCCATGGCTGCTGCCAACATTGCATTGTCGAGACTCTGTGGCAGCCCACTGGTGGCATCTTGTGCCTGCTTCATTTGCCGCCCGAACAGCTCGTTTAACATTTTCGCCGAGGAGCCGCCAAAAAGATTGCCAAAGGCTGCGGTTAGCAGCGATGATGCGGAATTCACGGAGCCCGGCGAACTGCAGCCGGATAGAGCTGTTGCTGATGCTGCTGTTGTTGCTGTTGTGGCAATTGTTGTTGCAATTGGGCTTAGATTTGAGTTGGCCGTGTTACTATTGCTGATGCTGTTGTTGTTGTTGTTAGTGTAGAGTGCACCACTAGCGGCACCCGCAGCAGCCGCAGCAGCGCTACTCATGAAGGCAGCGGTTGCCGTTGCGCCGCCGTTGCTGCAGCTGTTATTGTTAACACTATTACTAACACTGTTGCTGTTTAAGTTATTGTTATTGTTACTGTTACTGAAATTGTTGCTGTCTTTGCTCAAGGATCGCGTGCGCGTGCGACGATTTCTCACTAAGCTCGCTGTCGAGTGCGAGTTCGTGTTCGAATTGCTGCTGTTGCTACAATTGTTGGCAACTTTGGTTGCTGTTGCTGCTGTAGTCACTGGTTTTTTAGCCGCGCACGTTGTTGTCTTGTCGACGGCCGTTGACTGACTGATTTGTCGCTTGTGTGCGTTGCGGCGACTACTACGACTGCGACTGCGACTGCGACTGCGGCTACGACGGTTACTGTTGGCTGGCGCTGCCGCTGCTACGGCCGTCGTCGTCGCCTTGCAGTTGCCTTCGACTACAACGACGTCGTCCGAGTCAGAGTCGCCCTCGTCGTTATCGTCGTCGTCCGAATCGCTGCTGCCTTTGCCTTTGCAATGCTTCTCCGCTTCGCTAACGTTTTCGCCGCAGTTCGCCGCGTCGTCGATGCCGTTTATTTGTATTGGTGTTGTGAGACCGTTGCCGTTGCCGTTGCCGTTGCCGTTCCCGTTGCTTGCCTGTAGTGGCTGCAGTGTTGGTGGTGGCGGCACGGCAATCGCTACGCTCTTCGCCTGCTGTGGGGGTTGCAGCTTACACTCAGCTTCTATCTCCAATGTGGTTGTGGCCGTTGTTGCCGTCGCCTTTAGCAGCACATCGTTCTCATCGCTGTACAAACCAAAACAGTCCGCGTCGTACTCCTCTGATGACATCATAAGATGATGCCAAACAGCAGCAGCAGCCCGCACTCGCCTCTCCACGTTGCCTCACCGTCGCCTTCGCCGCGTTACTCTCTAGCACGTTCAGTTGCGCTCTCACAGCGTCAGACACACACATGCAGGAAGCCTCTTCTCCTGCTAGCGAATGCGAGAGCGATTACTTCGCCTTGGCTTCGATTGGCTGTTCGCGATGTTGTCGGCGTTGTCGTGTCGCTTTCCCCTTTTGTTCCTCTCCTCACTTGAGTCGAGTAATTCGCCGCTGTTGCGCTCAGGCGGCGTATGCGTAATTTCAAGTTTAAGTCTTCTCAGTTGTCCGATCTGTAATCTTTTACTTTATGCTTGGCTTGCCGGTTGTGTGTAGGTCCGAGTTATCGATGTGTGTTTCAGTGTGTCTCTGTGTGTATTTGCTATGCTTCAAAACTTTTGTTTGACCCGAACTTCTGGTTGCTTTTCTTGCTACTTATCCTTGGTGCGGGCCAACTCAATGTGTCTCTTTCTCCCTCTTACTCGCTTTTGATGTCTTCGTTTAGTTGCGCCGAACGTTGAAATTTTGCTTTCACTCAACTTATTTGTCGAAATGTTACAATTCAAAATTGTTCGCGTTGTTGTTGACAGTTTGTTGCAGTTGCAGTTGCAGTTACAGTTGTTGTTGTTGTTGTTGTTCCTGCTGTTACTGTTGCTGTTGCTGCAGTTGATTTTGCGTCTACGTTTTCTACGTTTTTTTCTGCGTTTTCTAATTGTGAATTTTGTTTTGAATTTTCTTTCCACCACCACACACATGCGAATGTCCTTTGCATTTAATGTTATTTAAGTTTGTTTTGATTTTATTTTCTCTTCTTGTTAAGGTCTTCGTTTGATTTCTTTTCTTTTGCTTTTTCCTTTCCTTTAATTATTTTGTTGTCGTTAGGTTTCGCTTTGAAATATAATTCTCTAAAAGTGTTTTTCGGCTTCTTTTGTCGAGAACTTGCGTGGAAATTTGTTCGTTTTCGTTATGTTTTTATTTTTAGTTTTTGCGTTTGTTTTTGGTTTTGGGCTTTTTTGTCTTGAATAATCGTTGTTTGCGCTCAAAAAGTGTTTCTGTGAATATAAAAGATGAAGTCACAAAAACCTTGCTAAATAAAAATACCCAAAAATTTTACATAAACAAGCGATTTAATTTCGAAAAACAGAGCGAGATGGTTGCCTAAGAGTTGGGATTGGGGGTTGCGGTGGGTGGTGTTTAAATGGAAAGTAAAAGTGGCGCACCAAAGGCTTTTGGTTTGGGTGGCCACTTGATTGGTTGGTGCTCGGTTACTGTTGGGGGTTGGCTCTGTTCGCCTGACCTTTGCCCTTGCCTCATCTGTCTGGGCAGAGGGATGTAGCTGGAAGCTGTCTCTGTATGTGTGTGGGCTTAGTCCTTAATTCAGCTAAAGACAACCCTTTGCCCGTTTACAAACAGCGACAGGTTTTTATCTAATTTCTCCACTTGAGCTTATTTAGCTGGCGACTTCGTTTTGTGTCTGCGTGGCACACTCCACATCCCCTCAGTCCGCCATCGCCCTTAGCCCCCTCATCCACATAATTATCATATACCATATACGTGAACAATAAATAGAGATAACGTGTGTTATATTTTGTGCTGATAAACAAGTTTGACTTACTTTCGGTACAGCTACAGATACTTCTATGCTCAGATACACAGACACAGATACTTTTGCGTGCGGCCAACGAAATGAATGCGTAAGCAGACAAAATAATCAATAAGAGAACTTTGGAACTGGCAAACTTGCTACCATCGCACAGTGCTGATTGAGGGGCGTTTCTAGCCTCCAATTTCGTATCTATAAGTAGATGTACTCAATATCTAAATGTTGTCTGCCTTTGTCTTTAGCGTCCCTAGAGAGATTTACGATGATTTAAATATAGGTAGAGAATAATTTTTTAATATATAATAAATTATTATTAGTATGAAAAGATAATTAATTGCAAATTATTTAACATTAATAAACTAATAATATTATATTTTTTAGAGCTAAGTCACAATTATTAAAAAATGAATATAGTTTATTAAAAATTATTTTGTTTATTAGCGAATGAAAATGTTGATCACTTTCTAAACGCTTAATAATAATAGTAAATAAAATAATTATGCTTGATAAATGGAATCTGCTTTGATAAATGGAAATGCAGCTCACATTAGTTTGTCAAGCGCTTCAGAAATATAATTTTACGATTCAGGCCTTAATAACTCTCATTGTCTGCAGTTGAAGAAAGCGGGTTTTATTCAGGGTAGTCGTGGCTGTATTTGTATAAATGCCATATGCAGTTTTCCAAGAACCGAATCCTCCCCTGCGGGAGGCGCCGTTTAAAGCATTGCCATGACAACAAAGTCGCATTTGCCATCCAATTGCATTGGAATTCAGTTCTCGAGGCAGAGGAGAGCAGAGCAGGGCAAAGCAGCCAACCCGCCCGTTGCCCAAGTCAGTGTCAACAGAACTGCGACCAACCCCACCCTTATGTTTGTCCTGCTCCTTGTTGTCCCTATGTCCCTATGCCTCGGTCTCAAAGCGACTGTACTTGGCAAGCGTGCAGCTTGCAAGGCAACGGCGAAGAGCCACCCCTATACAACGGCATAGAGCTGTATCAAGGATCTAACTTGGGCTTGGGATATTGGTATATTGGGCTAGCAGCGTTGGAAATGCCGCTGCACTCGCAGATCTTTCGTCAATATATGAATTTCTAAATATTTTAGTTAAAGGTTTACCACAAACAAAGCGTTATTATTTTTCTCCGTCGTTCATCATAGATCCTCCTGCAATATAGAGAAATCATAAAACAAATTTATTATCGAATGTATTTGATAAGAGAAATACTTAACTAGTTATCTTAGCAAAAGTTCAATGCACTTAATGCAGACGGTTTCTTCGTCTAACAACCCTCAGAGCTCGACTCAAAAGTAACATATGGCCCATTTCATAGTTCAGATAGTGCACCCAGGATCAAGGAAAGTTACTTCGCTATGAAGTTACCCACACCTACATACGATAGCGAAATATCAAGCGACAGCGGCGCACATAATTACAACCTTAACACATTTCTATAGACATCCTGTCGGCGAGTCCTTGCTAATGTGCTGGCCTGGCAGGAGGACATAGCGGACGAGGATGTAGAGGGTATTTGAAGAAAAATATAACTTAGAAGAGCTAGAGGAATTACTGTTTGAAAAGTTATTGATAATTATTAAAAAATTATATTAATTAAACCAGACTTTCAAATTGTTAATTAATAATTATAAATATTTTTTGTTTTATTTTTTTTTTAATTTCTTTTATATACATTTAGATTTAGACCTGATTATTTTTTGCTTAAAAAGTTAACCCGAATTTATACATTAAATATATCTAGAATGTTAATTTGAAATGAATGTTAAAGCTTCGCTTTAGTTGTTGTCCTTAAACATTTTTCATAAATTTTTTAGTTTTTCTTTTAAAACCAGACGTGGCACACACAGACACACACACATACTTATAGTGTCTGTATCGTGTGCTAGGGAAATGTATCTCAAAGTGTGCTTTGGAATGTGCCTTCACAGATCGCGGCACACGGTAATGTACCTATGATGTCTGCCTACTGCCTACTGCCTACAGCCTGCTACCTACTAAGTATATAAAGTGTGGCATGGCCATGTGTTCTCCTGCCGAACCCCTCCTCCGTGTCGCTGTCGTTGTTTTGGCCGGGTGTCATCATTAAAATATGCTTTGGCTCAAGTTGGGCTGGCTGGTTCGGCTAGCTGGCGACACTTGGACACAAAAGTGGACGCAATTGCGTTCCGGTCAACTGACTTTAAAATCCGTTAAAAAGTTTATGGCAACAACACGAATATGACAGCGCATGGCCCAACAGTTAGATAGACAGATAGATAAATGCAATTAGGCATTATGGCCATTTGAGACTTGTGTTAGAATTTAAAGTTCAATAGTATCTTCTGCTAGCTGCTAAAATAGGCAAAAATCACAGCATGAAAGAGAGAGAGAGTGGGAGAGAGGGAGAGGGGGAGAGGTAGCGTTCTGTCTTGCAAATGCAACCCTCTGGAAGATAGACCCGTATGTGTGTTGCGAGGCACAGCTGATGACGATGATGATGATCGCAATCGTGATCGCATGACAGGCAACAACAACAACAGGCATAAGTACGTGCCACAACTTGCAGCCACGAGCCGAGTGCACACCTGGACACAAAGTGGGACTCAAACTCAGCCTCGACTCGGTCTCGACTCTCGACGCTCGCTCTATGGCTCTATGCCTCAATGCGCGTGCCCACAAGCTGCTGACGATCACTAGAAGGAAGCAACGAGCAGCCCAAAGGGGCGTTTTGCCTTCTGCCTGGTGGTGGTATTTGACATTTCAAAGCAGAGCAATAGAGAGAGAGAGAGAGAGAGAGAGAGAGTGTGTGTGAGCGGGACCGACTGCTTGGGTTCCGATTACCTGAGAAATGAAATGCTGTTAGTTTGTTTTGTTTTGCGGCAGTTGTCGATCGCCGGGAAAGTTTGAAAAACACCTTTCAACTTGTTTGTGATAATTGCCAAACAAAAGCCAAACACAAACTCAAGCCTAACCCAACCCAACCCAACCTACTGCAATGACTTACTAATCCTGTACGCCAAAAGACATTAAAGTCATATTCACAAACTTTGCCAGTTGTTGCAGGAGAATTGCCAAGCAACTTTGTGGCACAATTGAAGCGAAAATTATGCTAAAAGAAAATGTCCTTTATGGCGGCAAAGATTTTAATGTTTATGCGAAAAGTTTGCTGTGAAATCTGGCAAAGGGCTGCCTCCTTACCGAATGGCATTTGCCATTAAATGCCAACTATTACAAAGGGTTTACCCAAGTAACTGGATATATGGCTATATACTGTCTATTCAACTGCTAATCAAGCTATTTGTCTGGATTGTATTTCATTTAGTTTCGAGGCTGCTTCTTGACTTGCTGCCTAAGCTCTGTGATTCGCTGATAAGATATAGCAGCGATAGCGCTGACTACATGAAAATACTTTTATAATCGCGATACCAATTTAGCCGCCATATGGCCAACTCTATGGGTATCAATAAGTTCCAACAGCTCTCAAGTGGCACAACACCAGTAGTAGTCATAGTCCCTACACTGAGCGAAAAGCTGCCAATCTTAGTGTAACTAATAAATATATATTTAAAACCAATATAAATTTTATAAAAATAAATATAAAAAATTTTAGGAAAAAAAAACAATATATTTTAAACAAATTAAAACAAAAAATAATAATAATTTTACTTAAACTTTTAATTTGATATAAAATTATAAGCTTGAAAAATATTCTTTTTATATTATTTTTATTAAATATAGTTTACATATATATTAAATATTATTTCCATTTTTCAAATTTAGTTTTTAATAAAGAAAAAAAATTATAATTTGAAAAATTGTAAAAGACTGTATTATATATAAATAATAAATACTTGTTTGGAATTAGGTGAAAAAAAAAATAGAAAATTAAGTCTTTAATTTAATTAATATTTATTCATATGAAATCTTCAATATATAAATATGAAAATAATTTTTTAAATGTAGTAATATATAATTAAAGAATATAAAATTATATATATATATATATATATATATATATGTAAAAAATTTAATTTGTTTTAAGTTTTAAAAGAATTTTATACTGACAATTTGAAAAAAATAAAGAGTGAGAATTATTAATCCAGAAATAGTTTTTGATAGTTTAATATTGCCTAGAACTACAACGATATTTTCAGTGTAGATTTGATAATAATAATGTGTGCAAACAAATTTCGCTCAGTGCAGGCATTGCACTTAGTCGGCTCAAAGTTGGCGGGCTCCACGTTGTGCCCCTTTTCGCCCGCCTTAGCTCCACATACATGTATCAATATCTACGAGGTATCTCTAGCAGCTCTTGTCGTTGTTGTTGTTGAGCACTTTTTGTGGTCGCTGTTTGTCGTGGCTGTGTGTTGCTGGTTGGGTTTTATTGTCTTTCAGTGCTTGATTAGATAGCTGCCACACACACACACACTCTCGCCCACTCTCACACACTTGCACGCAATACTGGGCCAGCAAAAAATGGCCATATGTGGCCAAGTTGTTCGGCATTGTGTGTTTACTTGCAAAGGCCGACAAAGTCCGGCTTCTTGCCTGAATATTGTTTTGTTGCTGCATAGCGGCAGGCGCCGTGGCGAGGCTTTTGTCTACTACCTGATGTCCGTCACTGTGTGTGTCCCACAGTCTGGCATTCGTGTCTGTTGCTTATCGCGCTTTTAATATCAAAAAATAAAAAAAATAAAAAGAATGCATGTGTGTCCATGTCCATAAGCCTCTCATAGTAGTTGTTACCTTTCGCGCTGCTATCTATGCAGATATCTTTCTCTGTCCGCCTGCATGAAGCTCATGGCCTGTGTGTATATATGTGTGTGTGTGTGTGGCATTAAAAACATTTTCATTGTAATCAAGCGTACTTTCTTTTATTATTATTATTTGCCTCTCTCTGTCTAATGCTAACGACGCAAATTACTCAAATGTATCTACCAGATACTTTATATTTTCTACTGTCGTGTGCAGCTCGCTGGCTCGCTCGGTCGCTCGCTCGCTTTTTCTGCTCATATATTATTTATTGATCGCGATAAGCGTCACGAAGCCAATTTCAACCGCACACCAAATGATAGAGAAACACTCCAATTCCTCCATACACCCCCAACCTCAGCTGGCCTCGGCTCTGCTCAACTCACCTGTTAAATATGCCTTGCAGCTTTTGCTCACATAATTCACATGGAAAACTAGGTACAGTCACCGATTCACTGATTTCTCTTTATTTATATTTCTTAACATCCGCTTTGGTGCGTGGCAGTCCACAGTTGTGCCCGCCGCTACCCTCAATTAACTCACAATCAAAGGTAGCCTCCTCTAGCTCTGGCCAGCTGCCAGATGTCGCTTCACTAACCAAGCCACCCCACTTGGCAAGCGTCTTGAAGACGCTCTGGGAAAGCAACTGTCGTTGCATTCAGTCGCCTTCAGCCGTTACCTTTAACTTCGCCACGTGCTGCATAGGCACCAAGCGTAAAAGAAAACTCATTGCGAGGCGCATTCAATGGAACTGTAAGGCACACACCACCATAAAGACCCAACTGTATAGGAACTAATCGCCACCTTTTGCATATGCCTTATACCTTTGCCTTTGTAACGTCTTTTTGAAACCCTGCGAGTCTACAAAACACGCATTTGAGTTAGTGAAGTGAAGTATTTTAAGCCTTAGATAGAAGTCTATATTCTCCATTTTATCTGAGTCCTTTTCAATTAAACCCACTTGATAAACTGAGAGAGTAGCCAAAAGACTTTTATAGCTGAATCTAACTTCTAAGATTTCTACACTAGAAAAGTCCGACGAAGCAAAAGAAAATACTGAAGGGAGTATGGTATATACTTCTCTATATCTATGCCTACCAATGCCTTTACCTATCATACAGGTAAACTGATTTACATCTGTCCGAAAAACATCTCTTATCATCTCGTATATAGCCTAGCCTAGTTAGTAGTTCGCAGAGTAACAGTATTTGAATTATATTAGAAGAATAGCCATTTGTGCTTTATATATATTTTACTAAGTTTTAAACGTCCTTCAAGCTCAAGTCCAATAAACTTTGGCTAAAAACATTTCTTGAAAAGTTGCCGCACGTAATTTCATTTGTTCGCTGCGTAAGTCGAAAGTCCAGAGGCAACGCCTCTGGGAAGTCGCCTTAATAATTCAATTTACGTGTGTTCT